CAAGCCCTGGGAAAACAATATGGAAGACAGAAGAGGTAAGTGAGGGGGGATCAAAGATTAATTTGAAGCCATCACTGGCAAGAACATCAACCTTACATATAAAATGCCATAAAGAGTCCTGGCTAGTCACAGCAGTGACAATGAGGAAGGGGTGTAGAAGTGCGCATGATTCCAGGGAAAAAGGATACAAAGGAAGAGAGAAGCACCCTTTGGAAATTGAGTGGTAAAGGAAGAAGAAAGTGAAAGGGAGAAAATGTCAGGTCCTGGGAGGGGGGGAAGCAAAAGCATTGGAGGAAACGCAGCCTCTCCTACTCCCACCCCCGAATAATAATAAAATAAAAAGTGAAAGAGAAAGTATACATGGTTACCCTGACAGGAAAGGATCCTCTTAAACTAGGAATCTTGTAAATACTCCAAATCCTTCAAATAGAGGCAGCCTAAATCTATACAACATACTATAAAAGAAAATAGAAAACAAGAATAAAAAATCTTTCACTTTATGAAAATGCCCCTGCCAAAAAAAGCCATAATGGGAAGAAAGCCACGACATACCACTGCTAAGTAAATTAAATGTTTTCAATCAAGCATTTGAGGATGTGAAAACCATACTAAATCAGAAATTAAAGTATGAATCAAGGGTCTTATATCCAGCCAAGCTCTCCTTCAAGTATCCAGGCTATAGAGGAACAGTTTGGAACACGTTCCTCTATAGAATGCAGGGGATACTGTATACATCAGTTCCTCCTGAGCCATCTTCTAGAGGATGAGCTTCCTTCAACCAAGAAATCACTGGGGAAGCTTCAGCAAAAGAATTCATATGAGCATTTAATATATTTACCAGATCTAGAAGTAAAACAAAGGTAGAGGAAGGATGAAAAATAATGTATGTAGTTAATATGACAAAGTAAAAATAATGTGACTAAAAATGGGAAGAGAAGTAGGATGGATGAAGAGGATAAGTTTATGGAGTATGGTCCAGGTTGTAGCTGGGAGTCAAAAAGTGCCATTAAAAACTGACCAAAGAGATAATAAAAGGTTAAATAAAAACACAAGAATAAAGGGCATTAATAAGTATAAGTGCAAAGGCAATCAACTGGACAAAAGTACAAATCTTACTAGGTTCCAAGAGGAAAAAGAGAGCAGTTATCTTTATAAATGAGAAACTAGAGAAGACGAAATGAGAAATACATAGAAACATAATAACAGGAGATATTCAGTCAAAGACAGGTCAAATGCACTAGAAATAAATAAGAATATTTATTGGAATACTATTGGAACTGCAAGTGGACCTGTGGGTGCACTGCGTCATGGCAGCAATGCAGGGCTGGGCTGCATCTACACCTGTCCCCCTTGCCCCCTGTCAGGCACACAATGCCAACAAGAACTGCTCTGTCTGCCAGCAAGAGAGGCAGAGACTGCACACAGCTATGGGGAAGTTTTCCTTGGGGGAGGGCCCTGCACATAGCTGGCAAGTGGGTGACATTGGACCAATGCCATATCTCAAGGGGCTGACATGAGTCTGACAGGAATAGACACTTACTCCAGACTGGGCTTTGCATACCCAGAGTGGTAGCTGCAAATGGTCAAAATACCATTCAAGGATTGGAACAGAAGATACTGTACCAGTTTGGACCACCAAGTTATATTTCTTCAGACCAAAGGGCATACTTTACAGCCCGTAGTGTCCAACAGTGGGCAGAGATCACATCGAATGGACATACCATATTGCACGACCTCCTCAGAGTAATGGTCCAATAGAAACTTGGAATGTGCAGTTAAGACATTTGCTATGTAAAATGGGGGGAGATAAAGGCGTGAAGGGCTGGCTCACACACCTTCACACTCAACAAGAGGGGGGCTGAGGGAGGGTCCTACTGGATAGATTTCTCTGCTTTTCAGGGGGATACGAAGAAGGGGTGGTAGGGGAGGACACTGGTGCAGTTACGCAGTTCTTCTCCACATCGCCTCAACCTTCTCTTTTCTTGCCTGATGCAGTGGTCCCAGGACCAGGGTTGCAACTGCAGGTGTCAGAAGCAGGGATGATTGCTAAGCAAGAAACTGGAACTATATTTTAAAACTATGTCAGTTCCTAAGGGCCTGATGGGGCAAGTTGTGCCTTCTTTCCTTCTGGCAAAATTGGGGTTAACAGTGCATGTGGCTGTATTGCTGGGTGCTAAGAGTAGCTCCCTAGTTCTGCATCTACTCCACCCTGCCCTATCAGAATGGGAGTTGTGCTAGACTAGTGTTGCTGCCTGACGTCCAGAGCAGCACAGTGGCTGGACCTAATATCCTTTCCAAAAGTGGAACAGCTGGGGCATAAATGGAGAGAAGGAGGAACAGCAGTGGAGGGTAAAGGAATGAATAAATGGGTTATGTAATGAGGGAAATCCAGTCTTACATTAACATCTCCAAACAGGCTCAGAGCAAGAGATGATATTGTCTCTTAGCCCAGTTTTACCAGATGCCTGAAAGAGTGAAGCCATAGACTGCTGAGACCATTCCCTTGTGAAACCTAGCAAGACCCAATGGAAGCCTGCAAACCTGAGTGGCCTCACCCTGGGAGACATTTTCATATGACATGATAAATTTTAATGGCAGAAAGGGATCCTAGTAATCTGCTAGTATCTTTGACTTTTATGATCATTTTACTGTAAGGAGTTCATGGCCAGAGACCAGTGGGTTGACTGTGAGTGACATGACAAGAAATACATATTGGATCTCTACCTTGATTTCTGATGCAGAGATCCCAAAACATCTGTAGTCTCCTGAGTGACAATAGTGTCTTTTTGTATGCTACTGAGATGACTAGGGGCCCCTAGATAGCTTTAGGGGGGGAGCTGGTCACCAGAAAGACCCAGGCATGATTGGAGGGTTGGAACTTTGAGCCCCACTCCTTCCCTCTGGAAAGAGGGCAGGGGCTAGAGATTGAGTTGATCACCAGTGGCCAAAGATTTAATCAATTGTGCCTGTGTACTGGAGCCTCTATAACCCTAACCCACAGGGTTTAGAGAGCTCCTTCGTCAGTGAATGCATCCACGTGCTGTGAGGGTGGCCAACCCCAAATTCCGTGGGGACAGAAGCTTGTGCACTCAGGACCCTTCCAGACTTCACCCTACGCACCTCCTTCTCTGGCTGTTCATTTGTATCATTTATAATATCCTTTATAATAAATTGGTAAATGTAAAACATCTCATTGAAATATACAAAATTAAAAACACAAGAAACTACCCTGTTCGCAGATCTCAATGAAAATAAATTTGAAAGCCTGGATGAAACAGATAATTGCTCAGGAAAATAGTTCATCAGAATTGACCCAATAGAGATAGAAAGCTTAAATAGAACAATTTCTATAGAAGAAAAAGAAAAGTTATTAAAGAACTACTGTACAAAGAAGCACCAGGTCTATACGGTTTCACAGGAGAATTTTATCAAACCTTCGAAGAAAAGAGAATCCTGATGCTACATAAACTGTTCCACAACAGAGAAAACCAAGAAAAACTTCCAACCTCTTTTTATGAAGCAAGTATAACATTGATGGCTGTGGTAGGCAGAATAATGAACCCTGCTACCCCCAAAGTTATCCATATCTGAATCCCCAGAAACTGTGGGTATGTTACTTTACATGGCAAAAGGGACTTTGCAGATGTGGTTAAGTTATGGATCTGGAGATGGGGGGAGTCCCCTGGAGTATCCAGGTGGGGTCAAAGTAATCACAATGGTACTTATAAAGGGAAAGAGAGGAGGAAGGGTCAGAGGAGGAGAGAGGGGATCCTGGAAAGAGTAGGAGGAGGGGGCGGGAGGAGAGAGGGGGAGGGAGAGAGAGAGAGAGAGAGAGAGAGAGGTCTGAAGATTAGTTACAATGCTGGTTTCAAAGATGGAGCAAGGGGCCATGAACAGGGGCCGCACTGGAAGAGTCAAGGAAATAGATTCTTCCCCTGAGCCCCCAGAAGGAACACAGACCTGCTGTCACCTTGATTTTAGCCTAGCAAGACCCATTTCTGACTTCTAACCTCATAATATAAGAGAATACATTTGTGTTGTTTCAAGGCACTGTGGTAATTTGTTACAGCAGCAGTAAGAAGCTAATACTAGCTTAAACAAGAAGAAACTTACAGACTGACATCATTTATAAATATGGTATAAAAATCTTAAATAAAATATTAGTGAAAAGAATTCGATATTATATTAAGAAAATAACACACGGTGACCTAGTGGGATTTATTCCAGGAATTAAAGATTGAGTCTTTCTTAGCAAATCTATTAATATAATGCACCATATTAATAGAGCTAAACAGAAAAATTATATGAGCATCTCCATAGATGATGAAAAAGCATTTTGACAAACTCAACACTCACTAATGATAAAAGCATTAAAAAAATTGATGGCTATTTCCATAACGTGATAAAAGTATATATAACTTAGTCCGAAAGCCTAAAAGTGTTTAATGGGGGGATCCTAAAAGCATTTTTACCAAGATCAGAAACAAGGTAACATTCTACTGGAAGAATTAGTTCATTCAATTAGACATATCTCTATATATGTGTAGGTACAGGAATAGATGTCAATATATGCGTGTGTATATCTTAACACTTTCTATCCACCAGAGGGGTCTATATGCAAAGACACCTCAGCAGCAATTTTATACACCTCAAACTCAGATCTTGGTGTCCAGATGTCATTCCTCTCTAAAAGGAACTGGAGCCCTTTGAAGACATGGCTGATTCCAGGTGTGAGGTGGCAAAAATACAAGATGAACCTGGAATATATTGTTAGTCCAGAAGCATGAAGTGGTCAAAAAACGATGGGGACACTCCAACAGTGCACAGAAATCACCTGAAGGGACACCAGTGGCCAAATCTGGGACACTTCAATCATCAAAATAAATAATGATAGCAAAAAAATATTCATGGAATAAAGTGATGATTTATGAGTCCACACCAATATAAATAAATGAATAGGGGAAATGGGACATCTCTTCTTTTTCTTCTTTTTTTGGCAGTTTGGCTCATACGGGGCTAGCTGAAGCCTTGATCTTGGTCTTATAAGACTATGCTCTAACCAGCTGAGCCAACCAGCCAGCCAAGGGGAATCTCTTCTTTATGGTAGAATACCATCTAAGAAACGTAGGAGGAACAATAGAGTTGGAAAAATCACCATTTTGCAGCCGTCATGTTAATTATGAATGATTCAGGTAAGAATCATGAGTTCCTGCAAAAGCCAGCAGATGAATTGCTTATTAATTAAAAAAGGAAAAACAGTAATTTTATAGTACATTAACCTAGCAAACACCACCACAGCCAAATAATCAAAGGTAATACTACTAAACAGATGTCATACAGCTCCTGACAAGATACCCTGGGCACAACATTACTTTTGTGGTGTCCCTGCCAAAAATGTGCAACTTTAGTCTAATCATGAGTAAACATCAGACAAACCCCAACTGAGGGACATCATACAAAGTAACTGGCCTGTATTCTTTAAAAGGTCATGACCGACTATGAAAAGTTGAGGAACCGTTCCAGATAAATGGAGTCTTAAAGAGGTGACGATTTACTGCAATGTGTGTGGTTCTGGACTGGATCCCAGGTCAGGAAAACAAAAACAAACAAAACAAAACAAAAGTATAAATATGACATTACTGAGAAAATTGGCAACATTTGAACATGGAATGTGTATTAGATAATAGTATTATATCAATGTTATATTGTTTGATTTTGATAAATGTACAACAGTTACTTAAGGATATTTTTGTTCTTAGAAAAAACATACTAAAGCATTGATATGCTTTAGGGTATGACATCTGCAAATTACAGGCTAATAATTCAGAGTAAAAAATGGTGTGTGTGTGTGTGTAAAAAGAAAGAACGAGAGAACAGAGGAAATGATGAAGCAAATGGGGTAAAATTTCTTGGAACTGTTCTTGCAACCTTTCTGTAAATGTAAAGTTATATCAAAATAGCAAGTTAAGAAACTTATTAGATAGTAGAACCTAAATTTTCTGTGTCTGTCCTGGATTCTGCCAGTCTTCAGATCACAAAAGGAAACCTTTTCTCTTGGGCCATTCTGCAGTTCTTTATTTGGAGAAGAAAGCTGTGGATAGGTTTGTTCTGAAAAGCAAATTTTTGGAATAAATATAGATGATTTCAAATTACAGGTAATTCTCACTGGACCTGGGAAACAGAAAGGTTGTGAAATTACAAAGAGAAATTCAAGAACATACCCAGGTCTCAAGCCGAGTCACATTTCTTTCTGGATGACACTTACTTACTTTTAAAGACATGACCATGCGATTATATCGTGCTGTATTCTACAGATGTGTAACTTAGAGATCACGCATGCGTGGAATTTTAACTCCTCCTGGAGCAGTGTTATAATCCACAAGCGCTAACACATCATAAGAAGCAGAAAGACTTGTTTTTACAGACACAACCCTGCTCCTGCCGGCTTCTTTGGCCTGTCCTGTTCCCTCTTCCCACATCACCTCTGCCCTTGAAACAAGTACAATCTCCTGAAAGTGCCATGCTCTGTCCTTCTCAGTGCTGGTCTTGATTCTAGCATGTGCCTGCGGCCTCATCGTCCTGGTGGGCCCTCAGCCTTCAAGATTAAACTTAAGCATCCTCCCCTCCTGAAACCTTCCTTGCCCTTCCTCTGGGTTTCCTCAGCACTGTGCAAACCCCTCCATCACAGCGTCCACCTGTGCCTGATTCTGGCTACCTGTGCTCAACAGCAAACGTCGCATTTCACCTGCCTAGGCATCTACAGCCTCCAGAAGCAAGTGATGGGTCAAGCAGAAAATCATAAAGCATTAGAGTTTGTTGTTTGTTGCTACCTGGCAGGATATTTTAGTTAATGTTGTTGTTCTTCCTCAAGTTTCAGTCTTAATGGTACTAACTTAATTATCAAAATTGACAGAGCCTGAATACGGCACCTGCACTAATATGTCCGTTCCTTTCTCCAAAGCCCTTCCATGTTTTTTTTGGCCCTCCGTTTGAATGTTTTTCTGAAGGTATAGCGTTAACAATATTTGAGACAAAGCCGGCATGCATTTTGCGCGATTTTCATGCTGATTGAAACATAACATGTTTTAGCTTGAAATGAAATTTGGTTTAGTCTCTAAAATGTCAGAGATTGAGTTTGCTGTCCTGCATGGTATCCAAAAGTCAATCATAAATACCTATGTATAGGCTTTTTCTAGGCATAGAAGATTATAAATTTCTAACCTACATAATTTTATTGATGAATTGCAGAAATAGCTATTTGTTGTACATATAAAAGGCAATGAACTTTCAACTATGAAGGAAGTGCAGAAATATAAACAAATAATATATATCATTTATCTATAGATGAATAATTTTGTGTAGTCAGTGGCTGATTATAAAATACCTGCTTATTGGTAAATGCATATAACTTTCCCTCTTAATACTTAATCGGTAATAAAAATTGCTAATTTTCTTACCTATTAACATGAAGGTAAATGAACTTTATTTTTGGTGGCTGGTCAGTGTGGGGATCTGAATCTTTGACCTTGGTGTTATATTATCTATTAATTGAAGGTAAATGTCCTTCAAAATTTCTGGGCTCTTAAATATAATTTATCTCTCACTGTTCGAATTTATTAAACATCAATCATAGAATAACATTAATTTAGAGCTTACTTTTCAGGTATTATCTCATGTGGTAATTCTTATGCATTAGTATGTATATGTACTATTAGCACCTTTTTACAGATAAGGAAATTAAGTCATAATAAAAGAGGTTAAATAAATTATCCCAGAAAACCAGTGTGGTGTAGAGATTAACAGCCCCTGCTAGAACCAGACTCCCTGGGTTTAGGTCCCTATATTCCACCACTCATCAACTATATAATCTTGGGAAAGTTACCTAGTCTCTCTGTGACTCAATTTCCTCATCTGTAAAATGGGGATAATAATAGTACTGACCTCACAAGGTTATTACGAGGGTTAACTGAGTTAACATATATAAAGCACTTAGGAGAGTGCTAGAGCACAGTAAGTTACATAATACTGTTAGCAAACGGTCCCCAAATTGGGATGCTATGGAGACAGAACTTGAACCCAATCTTACCCACAAAGCTGTTCTTACAACTATTTGTGTCACCTAAACTGATCAACCCAAATCCTCTCATAGTATTTCTCTCAGTTTAACACTCTCGCATGTTTCGCTATTACTCTCAGGACAAAGATCAAATTCTTTGATGAAGCATATAACTAGGGTGACCACATTTTCTGATTTGTCTGGGACAGTCCCAGTTTATGGCTGTGGTACTGCCATCCTGTTCAGTGCAGCCTTTGTCCAGAATTTTTGAAATTTTAATTAAGAAAAAAGTTTTTTTTTGTTGTTGTTGTCCTTTTTTTTTGAGACCGGCCGCACCGCGCTCAGCCAGTGAGCGCTGTGAGCGCACCGGCCATCCCTATATAGGATCTGAACCTGCGGCGGGAGCACTGCTGCACTCCCAGCACCGCACTCTCCCGAGTGCGCCATGGGCTCGGCCCTAAGAAAAAAGTTTTAAATACAAGTATTTTATAGATCCACTGCCCAATTCCTTGGTCAGTTAAGTATGAGGGTACTCAAAAAGTTCAAGGAAAAATGGAATTAAAAGATAATACAAATCTTTCCATGAACTTTTTGAAGACCCTTAGTGCATATACCAAAATTTATATGATTGTAATTATTTTTGGTACCCCTCCCCCATGGTCAAAAACCTTCCTGTTTGGAAGATGAATTATATTCATAAAACACTTCATAAAATGGGCTATGTTTACCTCCTTATCTCTTCTCCCTTCACTTGTACTCTCATTGAACTGATCAAAGTCCCCCAATGAATCTTGCCTTTGTATGAGCTGTCTGAATTCCTCCTGTGTCTGGGTCCTGTGCCAGTGAATGAGGCATAAATGCCACCTTCTTTGGAAGCTTCTTTTGATTCCTTGGCATTGAGTTAGGGGCCCTGCCATGTCCCTGTGGAAGCACTCTGCATCATGTGTGATCATTATGACACCTGACCATACTCTCCTTGAAGGTAGCAACTTGCGCTGAGGTGGTCATTTAGATTCTTTCTGTCTTTATTTGTTGAGTGGATGAATGAAGATAAATTTTTCCCTATCATTTCTCCCCTATATATTGCAACTGATTAAAAGTAAATTTCATCCCTCAGCTTGCAGAGGATCTGAATGAGTTCTGCAAATGCTACACTTCAGTTTCTTCTTCTGTGGCACAAGAAACAAGGCACTTGGAGTGGAATCACTACTGGAAAAGTAAGAAAAAATAATGAACATTCTCTGAGAGCTTAGACTAACCCAAAGTCTGACTCTAACTCTGACCAGGGTGGCTGTTGTCACCCCCACCACCTCCCCAGTTCTCCTGGCTAGAGGTGGAGCTTCGGGTGCATTCCAGCGTCTGACTCTCCATGGCTCACCTCTGTGCAGGGGCATACCACACAATTGCATGCAGTGGCCCTGGCTATCACTGACACCCTAACCATCTTGACTCCAAGTTTCCTTGTCACCTAGGAGGCTGACCCCACCTCCAGACCTTTGACCCCAAACCCCGATCTTGCCTTATCTCTTGTGTGAGCACCTGAAGGAGAAAAATCCTACAGTGCTAGCAAGGCAGCTTAAAAATAAGACAGAGCTCCTCAGATGTGGCAGAGAGAAGAGAACCAGGGGAAGCTTCGGTAGAGCAACATAGAGCAGGGCAAGGAAGTTTTGTTTCTTTCTTCTCATCTCAAGACGTCAGGCAGCTCAGAAAATGGACTTGTTTGCCCATGAGTAATGATAGAGATGGTGGTGGTGCTGTCAAATATCTCTTTTCCTTTCTTATAAAATATACTAGCATCCTTTGGAAATTAATATTAATTATTATTCCCTTTCACACAGTGTTTCATTCATGTAAATGTTCTGTATCCCATATTATACTTTACTAATAATACCACTCCCTGGAGCTAGCTAAATGCCAGACTCTGTTCTGAACATGCTCAACAGCGAGGCCAGGATCTGGACCCAAGGCAGACTGGCTCCAGCATCCACACTCTTAACCACAGTGCTATCCAGCCTCTAACACACAGCT